TGAAACAGCAGTTGACATTTCAGAGTGAAAGTCGTGTAACTTGGGCCCGCGGATACATATATAATGTCCCGATGACTAAACACATACACCTGAAAACTCTTGTAAAAGTCACTCTGTGCTGAGAGAACCGGCCTTTTCTCGGCGCGAGACTTCTGAATAAAAAAAAAAAAAGAAAAAATGTTACAACACAAATGTTGTGCGATGAAAGCGACTCGTTGAAGCTCGATTCGATGTCTGCCCGATGGAAACGTATCAGCATAACGACTCGCGCAACTGTTGCAATTATTTTCGATCTCGATCTCTTCTTTAAATAATTTCAAAGCCATTCAATTAAATCGCCTTTAACGCGTTTATTTATTTAACATTAATGAGGATGTCATTATTGCGCCATGTAAACCGAGCCGCGTTACGCGCCTCGTTACGTCATAAGCGAAGCTCACTTGGCCGTGCTGACACGTCACTCGAAACCACGCGGATTTCGATTTAATTAGTATCCTCGTCGGCGATTAATTCGATTCGCGGAACAACATGAGTAAGACTTGCAACTTATTTTTCCGCTCTACTCTATTTTATATGGGCGCGAGATCGCGCATACAATAAAACGGCGATTCGATCTGCGTTTGCTTTTCGACGATTATCGTTTAAACGAACGATTTGCAACCACGTGTGTTACGAGGCGCGATTAGGAACAGCGGCGCGATTTATATGCGATATTATTACGCGCGCGCGTAATAATATCGCCGTTCTCCCGAACTGTCGCGATATATCGGCTCTTTATTCTCTCTGGCACGGAGATTATTATCCGCATGCTCTTTCCGTTGCCGATATTAAAGGCTCGCACACTTTTCAACGAGCGAGCCGAGCCGGCAGTGTGTGCTGACCGGTACAAAGTTTCGTAAGAGTCTCGTAGAACCGCGTTCGGAGAAAGTTATGATCTTGCCATATCGCCCGCGTGTGTCTGGATTCGATTTTATTTTCGAACCGCTCCCTCACCTCTCCCTCCCTCGATTCTCTTTTCCTCGATCTTTATCTCGCGCCGTCCCCCTCGGCCGGACGGCAGAACTTTCTGCTCTTAAAATAAATCTCTGCTTTCAAAAAGAAACCGGAGCCGGTCGTCGCGCTTTA